GACACTATAGGATAAGCACTGGACTGCTAACCACAAGGCCAGTAGTTCAAACCCACTTACCACCAACATCTCTTGTCTGACATTGAGCTAGGTGCTGGGTTATTGGATACCTCTCTAATGCCCTTTCTGTAGCACGTTCCACAGATTTTGTGCGAGTGTGAGTTTTAAAATGTTGAGTTACAGTTTGGGAGGCATCAGCTCTGTACTCCTCCCTTCTTGAGATAGTTTATATATCTCTATTTGCCTTCAAGAAGCCCTGGTGGTGCTGTGGGTTAAGTATTGAGCTGCTAACTACAAGGTCAGAGGTTCAAATCCATGGGAGAAAGATGAGACGTTTTGCTTTTATAAAGATTTACAGTCTTGGAAACCCTATGGAGCAATTCTACTCTATCCTGTAGGGTCACTATGAGTTGGAATTGACCTGATAACTGTGGGTTTGGTTTATTCTGTCTTTGGACAGTGGCTGATGAGAAACCACTGCTAATGTGAGCAGAACTGTTGTTGATATGTAGGGTATCTAGGACAGGTTCACTTTCAGAATAGAATTTCTTTCAAGCAACATGGTTTTTGTCTTAATTGTATGTGGACAAAGTATGTTTTGGAGATGTTTGAAAGATACCGTTCTTGTCTTTCCTAATAAAGGATCTGGTAGAAGAGTGATAACTGAAGAGATTAAATTATGTCCTTTACTCTTCTGTTTATGAACTGGTAGTCATGGATTATGAATCTTTGTCTCCATCTAAATAAATGAGAATGATAATACCTAACTCACAGGACTGTTTTGAGGTCAGAATTGTATAATGGATTTGAATGTGGTTTACAAATCCCAGTGTGTTTACTCAAGTATAAGGGATTATTATGATGTTTAAAATTAGATGAGAGAGACACAAAGAATAATAGAAAAGAATAGAATCTATTAGCAGACCTATCCATGTATGAAAACTAACTGTATGATAGAGGTGACCTTACAGATTCATGGGGAAATCACAAACCTTTTAGGAAATTGTCCTGGGACAACTGATTTTGCAAATGACAAAGATTTAAAAGATCCTACTGTCTTAGTTGTCTAGTACTGTTATCAGAAACACCATAAGTGGATATCTTTAACAAACAGAAATAATTCAGTCTCTCACAGTTTAGGAGCCTAGAAGTCTGAATTCAGAACACCGGCTCTGGAGAAAATTCCATGTGTCCTTTCAGCTTCTGTAGGCCCAGCCTTCCTTGGAGAGCTCCAGTCTTTCCCTCCAGTAGTTTCACAATTCAAGAACCGCAGGTCCAAAGGACGCACTTTACTCCTGGCTCTTTTTTCTTGGTGGTGGTAGGTTCCTCTGAGTTCTGCTTGATTGTTTATTGTCTTTTATGTCTCAAAAGAGATTGACTCAAAATACAACCTAATCTTGTAGATTGCATCTGGCCTCATTAATATCACAGAAGTGAGAATTTACAACATATTGGATAATTATTTCAGATTAGAGCTGATATATCAGATCACATCATTATATCACATTAGCTTTTATCATGGAGGGGATTACTGTATCTTAACTATGAGAATCCTGGCTCAGCAAGTTGATATAAAACTTTAATTATCACACTACCTTATGTCACAGACAAAAATTGATTCCAGCTCAGTTAATGACCTAAGGAGCCCTGGTAGCATAGTGGGTTATGAGTTGGGCTGCTAACCAAAAGGTCAGCAGTTCAAACCTGGCAGCTGCTCCATGGGAAAAGTTGTTGTTAAGTGCCCTCAAGTTGGTTCTAACTCATAGCAGCCCTGTTTAGGATTCCCAAGGAGCAGCTGGTGTATTTGAACTGCTGACCTTGTGGTTAACAACTGAATGCTTATCCCACCACATCACACCAGAACTCCATGGGAGAAAGATGAAGCTTTCTGCACCCTTACAAATGTGCAGCCTCAGAAGCCCTATGCAGGGTCACTATTAGTTGGAACCAACTTGATATCACACAACTACCACCACGACAACTAAACGTGCAAAGCAGAACTACAGAACTTAACAAAACTGAGACTGTCTTTATGATCGAGTAGAAAGTGTTTTTTAGCACACAAAAAGCACAATTCCCACACAAGAGATTGCCAAATTTGAAGGCAATCTTAGAGAGGATATTTGCAGCACATATCATTGACAAATGACTACCATGTTGAATACATAAAGAACACCGGCAAATCAAAAAAAAAAAAAGGCCAGTAGAAAAATAGATAGAGCATATAAATAGGTCAGAGTGGAGTAAAACAGGAACGACCACTAAATCTGAAAAGGTGCCTAACCTTAAATGTAAATACAAATGAAGCCATACTTTTCTCACCTATTGGACTGGAAAAAATGAAATCTGATGTTGCCAACAGTTGACGAGGATGTTAAACAAGGGAAATATTATATCTAATTGGTAGGAATATAAATTGGTACAGATGATTTGGAGAATAGACTGAAACTATCTAGGTCAGGAGTGGGGAATGTCCAACCTGAGGGCTGTATGTTGTTGTTAGGTGCCATCAAGTACATACCAATTCATAGCGACCCTATGCACAACAGAACAAAACACTGCCTGGTCCTGGGCCAACCTCACAATTGTTGCTACTTTATAGCCCATTGCTGCCACCACTATGCCAATCCATCTCATTGGGGGGTCTTCCTCTTGTTCTCCAGTCCTGCACTTAACCAAGCATGATCTACTTCTCCATGATATACTTTCTTCATTTATATGTTGTTGTTATTAAGTACTGTCGAGTCGGTACCGACTCATTGTTGTTGTTATTACGTGCCATTGAGTTGGTACCGATTCATAGACACCCTATGTACAACAGAATGAAACACTGCCCGGTCCTGGGGCACTTTGCCAATCCATCGTGCTGGGGATCTTCCTCTTTTTCTCTGACCCTCCACCTTACCAAACATGATGATAGCCTT